AGAGAGAGGGAGACACAGAATCGGAAACAGGCTCCAGGCTCTGAGCCATCAGCCCAGAGCCTGACGCGGGGCTCGAACTCACGGACCTCGAGATCGTGACCTGGCTGAAGTCGGACGCTTAACCGACTGTGCCACCCAGGCGCCCCTAGACCTCCAAATTTTCAAGTTTAAACTTCCCTCTGCTTTTCCACTTACCTGCTTTTTATTTGTGTGTTTCTTCTTTACTGTCAGGAAGGGCCACCTTCAGAGGGCCAGTTCAGTCCAGTATGATATCAACCTGGTGGAGACAAGCAGTACCAGTGCCCACCACAGTGAGTAAATTCAAAATAAAATGCTTGTTTTAAAGCCCTGGATGAGATTGTTGTTGTTACATGTAGAGATTTGGATCTATCCAAAAAGGTTGACTCAAGAAAACTTTTCTATGAGTTTTCACATTAAGATGGATTTCTTTGTCACATTAAAATGGATTTCTTATTAGCATGACACCGGTCATTTTTTTTCCCCCCAGAGAAAACCATGTTATCTCAGTATGTGAAATTATGTTTTTAGCTATAATGTGTTATAATGTGTTACACATATATAAGGGATTAGTTTCTCCAGAAGTAATTTTTTTAATATTTGTTTATTTTTGAGAGAGAGAGAGAGTGCATGCAGGGAAAGGGTAGAGAGACAAGGGTACCAAGGGGCAGGGCTTGAACTTATGAACTGTGATATCATTACCTCAGCCAAAGTTGGAAGCTTAACAGGCTGAGCCACCCAGGCACAGCAGAAGCTATTTGAAGTGGGCTGGTATATAGAGAAAAGGATATTTACCTGTGTAAGGATAGGCAAAACTTTGGGAAACTTATAGACCAATTAACGTTTGAGAAGTTTCTTGAGACTTCTACTTCTGGCTAAGATGGAGTAGCAGGTACTAGGACTGGATTTACCTTCTACTTGAAACTGTAAAAAAAAAAAATGGATATAATACATGAAACACAGGTTTTCAAGACATTGGACATCAGGAAACAAAGGATCATGATCCCTAAGAGATGGGAAACAGAAGTAAGCCAATGATTGCTTCAGATTATTGCGTTGAAATAGTTTACAGGCTGTGGCACAGAAAGGGGGAACCCAGGCTGAGCTTGGTAGACTCCCTGAGTTAAGAAGATGAAATTCAGAGTCTAGAAAGGTTGAGGTGGCTATAATTCAGTGAACAGAGTACTGGAAAAGATAGCTGCATAGAGAAAATTCCAGAGATCTCCAGTTCAAGTATTCAGCTGAATGTTAATCAGCACATATGTAGTAGGGAAATACTTGAGATTAGGTATAGAATTACTTGAAAGGATTAGAGATGTCCAGTACTCACACAGGGCTCGGAAAAATGTCTGTTCCAAAAAGTTAAAAAACAAAACAAAACAAAAAATTGTTATTCGTGGGACATTAAGGAGACTACAGAGCAGAGTGTTTCCCCAGTAGAGGGGAATAATTAGCCCTATATTTAAGCACTGTTCCAGCCCTGCCTGACAAACCTTAAAAATTTCCAAATAACTGCATCCCAGATTAAATCTCAGTAAAACAGCAATAACAACAAAAACAAACACACGCACATGCACACACACACTCACACACACCAAACAAACAAAAAACCCAATACCTAACAGGTACAATTCACTGCCTTGCATCCAATCAAAACTTACCAACCTGTTGGTTTAACATATGAAATCAATGTGAAAGACCACATTAACAGAATAAAGATAAAAACCACACAATAACCACATTAGATGCAGAAAAAGTAGTTGACAAAGTTCAAAATCCATTAATGATAAAAATTCTCAAGAAAATAGGTATAGAGGAAATTTCCTCAACATAGATAAAGACCATTTATGAAAATTCCACAACCAACATCATTATCAGTGGGAAAAAACTGATCGTTTTGTCTCTTTACTTTTCAAGGCAAGGATGTTCACTTTCACACTGGAAGTACTAGAAGAGCAACCAGACTTTTTTTTTTTTAATAATGGCATCCTATCTAAAAGGAATAAATTAAATTATCTGTTTGCAAGCGATATGATTTTATATGTAGAAAACCCTAAATACTCCATTAATAAACTATTAGAACTAATAAATGGCTTCAGTAAATTTGCAGGATACAAAAAAACATGTAAGAAAAATTATAATTCATTATACCAAAAATGATCTATTTGAAAAGGAAGGAAATCAACAAAACAATTCTATTTGTAATACCACCAAAATCATTACTTAGAAATAAATTTAAGCGAGGAGGCCAAAGATCTATACATTGAAAACTATAAAATATTTATAAGAGAAATCAAAGACACAAAAATGCAAAGATATCCCATGTTCACGGATCAGAAGAATTAATATTGTTAAAATGTCTATACTACCCAGGGTGATATAAAGATTTAATGAAATTGCTATCAAAATTCCAATAGTGTTTTTCACAGAAGTAGAAAAAAAAAACAACCTAAAATTTGGAACCACAAAAGACCCTGAATAGCCAAAGCAATCTTTAGAAAGAAAAAGCAAGTTGGAGGCATTACATTTCATGTCTTCAAATTATATTACAAAGTTATTGTAATTAAAACACACATGTAGACCAATGGAACAGAATCAAGAGCACAAAACTAAATCAAGCATTTACAGTCAATGAATTTTTATAATATTCATATTCCAGTTAGTTAACACACAGTGTAATATTAGCTTCAGGTGTACAATATAGTGATTCAACACTTACATACAACACCTGGTGCTCATCACAAGTACACTCCTAATCCCCATCACCTATTTCACCCATCCCCCACCCCCCAACTCCCCTCTGGTAACCATAACTTTGTTCCTCTATAGTTAAGATTCTGTTTCTTGGTTTGCCTCTCCGTTTTTTTTTCTTTACGGTCATTTGTTTTGTTTCTTAAATTCCACATGTGGGTGAAATCATATGATATTGTTATTCTCTGACTGATTTATTTTGCTTATTAGCATAATAGGTTCTAGCTCCATCCACATCATTGCAAATGGCAAGATTTCATTCTTTTTTATGGCTAACATTCCATTGTATAAAAACCACTTCTTCTTTATCCATTCCTCAGTTCTTGGACACTTGGGCTCTTTCCATAATTTGGCTATTGTAGATAATATTGCAATAAACATTGGGGTGCATGTATCCCTTTGAATTAGGGTTTTTGTATTCTTTGGGTAAATATCTAGTAGTGCAATTGCTGGATGTTAGGGTAGTTATATTTTTAACTTTTTTTTTTTTTTTTTAATTTTTTTTTTCAACATTTATTTATTTTTGGGACAGAGAGAGACAGAGCATGAATGCGGGAGGGGCAGAGAGAGAGGGAGACACAGAATCGGAAACAGGCTCCAGGCTCTGAGCCATCAGCCCAGAGCCTGACGCGGGGCTCGAACTCACGGACCGCGAGATCGTGACCTGGCTGAAGTCGGACGCTTAACCGACTGCGCCACCCAGGCGCCCCTATATTTTTAACTTTTTGAGGAACCTCCATACTGTTCTCCAGTGGCTGCACCAGTTTGCATTCCCACCAAAGTATAAAAGGGTTCCTCTTTCTCTGCATCCTCACCGACATCTGTTTTTCTGTGTTATTAATTTTAACCATTCTGACTGGTGTGAGGTGGTATCTCACTGTGGTTTTGATCTGTATTTCCCTGATGGTGAGTGATAGTTGAGCATCTTTTCATGTGTCCATTGGCCATCTGTGTGTCTTCTTTGGAAAAATGTCTATTCATGTCTTCTGCCCTTTTCCAGTTGGATTATTTGTTTTATGGGTGTTGACATGTATCAATTCCTTATAGATTTTGGACACTAACCATTTGTGGGATATGTCATTTGCTAATATCTTCTCCCATTCGGTAGATTGCCTTATAGTTTTGTTTTTTGATTGTTTACTTCACTGTGCATAAGTTTTTTATTTTGATCAAGTCCCGATAGTTTATTTTTGCTTTTGTTTCCCTTGCCTCAGGAGACATATCTGGAAAAAAGTTGCTGTGGCCAGTGTCAAAGAGGTTACTACTGCTTGTTTTCTCCACTAGGGTTTTTATGGTTTCCTGTCTCACATTTAGGTCTTTAATCCATTTTTGTGTATGGTGTAAGAAAATGGTCCAGTTTCATCCTTTTACATTATGCTGTCCAGGTTTCCCAACACTTTGGTTGAAGAGACTGTCTTTTTTCCATTGGATATTCTTTTCTGCTTTGTCGAAGATTGACCATATAGTTGTAGGTCCATTTCTGGGCTTTCTATTCTGTTCTATTTATCTTTGTGTCTCTTTTTATGCTACTACATACACTACAGGTACAGCTTTGTAGTAAACTTGAAGTCCAAAATTGTGATGCCACCAGCTTTGCATTTCTTTTTTAGGATTGTTTTGGCTATTCATGGTCTTTGTGGTTCCATACAAATTTTAGAATTGTTTGTTCTACATCTGTGAAAAATGCTGCTGGTAATTTGATAAGGATTACATTAAATGTGTAGATTGCTTTGGGTAGTATAGACATTTTAACAGTATTTGTTCTTCTGATCCATGAGTATGGAAAATCTTTCCATTTCTTTGTGTACTTTTCATTTTCTTTTATCAGTACTTTATGGTTTTCAGAGTATAGGTCTTTCAGATCTTTGGTTAGGTTTATTCCTAGGTATCTTATTGTTCTTGGTGTAATTGTAAATAATCCCTTAATTTCTCTTTATTTTTTTTAATTAAAACATTTTTTAATGTTTATTTTTGAGAGAGAGAAACAGAACGCAAGTGGGGGAGGGGCAGAGAAAGAGGGAGACAGAATCTGAAGCAGGCTCCAGGCTCTGAGCTGTCAGCACAGAGCCTGGCATGGGGCCCGAACTCACAAACTGTGAGATCATGGCCTGAGCTGAAGTCAGATGCTTAACCAACTGAGCCACCCAGGTGCCCCCTTAATTTCTCTTTCTGCTGCTTCATTACTGGTGTTTAGAAATACAACAGATTTCTGCATGTCGATTTTGTATACTGCACCTTTACTGAATTCATGTATCAGTTCTTTTGGGTTTTCTATATAGAGTACCATGGGACTTCATCAAATATAAAAGTTTCTGCATAACCAAAGAAACAATTAATAAAACGAGAATATAGCTTAAGGAGTAGGAGAAAATACTTGAGATAAGGGGTGAGATAAGGGGTGAAGCACCAACGTGTATATATATATATAAGAAACTTGTACAACTCAATAGCAAAAAATCAACTAATCCAATTTTTTAAAGTTTATTTATTTTGAGAGAGAGAGAGAGAGAGAGAGAGCACACACTTGTGCACCCAAGTTGGGAAGGGGCA